ATATATTTATATATATATATATATTGAAAGCCCAAAAAGGCTAATATATTAAATAGAAAGAAAAATACAGATGCAATGTGTGGGAGGGTCCAAGCATGACACCCTGCCCACACAAAAACCACAAATGATTCTAAAACTAGAAAAAAAAAATAGAAAAATACATTATATACGTAAATAAAAAACCTAACAGTGCCGAAATACATAAATTCAGGTTGCTAGAGAGCGTCCCAAGTTGGTCTTGCCTCTGCCTCTAGTTTTAGGATAAGAGCAAACTAATAAGCTGATAAGATGATTGCCAGTGCCTGTAGTAACCAATGTATCATCCAATATGTTCTCGAGCTGGAGTTGGTCTCCATTCTTCTTCTTCCTTCTGGCTTCTGGAATAGACCTTCCATTCCTCTTCTGAAGAATCAGTCTGATGGAATGGTAGAGCTGAAGCAGAAGGATTACTAACCGTAGTACCCACAATATGTTCTAGTATATATGAAGTATGAGTTGCCTCTACACCAGATACTTCCTGAAGAAGTGGAGCTACGAGGCTCTCTTGATTATCAGTGAACACTATCATTTGTAAGTAATAGTCCATCAATATTGTTTTCTATGGGGTTTGAAGGTGCCAACATCACATCACTCGCAATAACAGTAACAACAGTGTCATGGGGGTTTCCTCAGGGGCATCAAACACTTTCTGTCTGGTAGTATCCTCCCCAGGTGGAACTAAAATGTCTAGAGAAATGGGGTTAGACCCATCTTTATTCACTTGAATCTTAGATTTCAAATTTGGATGAAACTTGTGTCATTTATCAAGGGCATGATCAAACATCTTACAGTGGGTACAATATATATTGGTTCTCTAGTGATCTTATTTCTCGTGTGGTCAGCTAAAGGAACTTGCTGGCAATGATCTTTTCCCTCCAACATCTTTTGGTTTAAGGCTAGTATTGATGTGCTTTGGTTTATATATGTTTGAATGTTGTTATAGGTTATAATAGGAAGGGAAAGAAGAAAGAATTTGATTCTGGAGGAAACCTAAACCACAATGAAAAACAAATATTATTGCTAAAACTGAAATAATTACAGACACAATGCTTGAAAACATGAAATAGTGACAACAAAACAATAATACAAACTTGAAGACACAACACAGACTCTAGTAAGGTTTACACACGATAGCCGATAGATTTGATGGAGAGGCAGCGATAGCTGCTTGGAATGAGTTGCTGCAGTGTTGGGAAGAGCTGCGGAAGTTTACAGTAGGATGGGGGAAGGTCTGGGAGGGTTGCGGTCAGGTCTAGATGGGTTGGGAGGGCTTATGGCAGGCTCTGGAAGGGTTGGAAGGAGTTTAGCTGTGAGGGCAGCAAACTAGCAAGTGGTAGGACGGGACGACCAACAACAGGAAGAGAGCCAAAGGGTTGTGGAAAGATAAAACGTCTCGTTGGGGTCAAGCTACAGCCGGAGCACCACCTGAATCCTTAGAGACGATCACCACCTCAGACGAATTACAACCGGAACTCATTTTCACTGTCGGGTATACCCCTCAGAGGGGAAGAACGCCTCAAGGGTAGCAATTGAAATCGACAATCATAAAAAACCTCTCTTTCCTAAGCTAAAATAACCCTTCTCTTTAAGAGGGATTTTGACTTATATTAGACAATGCTTTTAATTAGGAAATAGAATAAAAATTAAGTAATATAATGGACAAACATTTATAATACGGGATTTCATGGAAATGGAAAGAAATATTAAGAGGAAAAAAGAAAGAAAAGGGCCGAGAGCAGGGTTTGGATCGCAGTTACTGTAGCTGCCACAGTAATGCATCCGCGACACTTTAGCATGACACTGTAGCAGCTACAATGCCGCGATATGGGGAACCTCCTGCATCAATCCACCGGGGTTGGGGGAGCTTCGTTTATTTGTCGATGCTTTTAGGGCAAAAAAATTTGGTGGCTTTGGTAGGGGTGGAGACTAGGGACCCTAGGATAGGAGTAAACTACTTTTATTAATAGGGAAATATGGTTATAAAACACAAAAACTGATAATAACATCACAAACACATAAAACGACACAACATAAACCTCGAGAGTGCATCCGAAGGGCGGTAGAGGTTACTAGGTGTATTGGGATGACTAACGGGGGAGGTGGCAGTGAAGGCAAGGTGAGAAAATTGCGGGAACAACTACATCAATAAATTGAGCAAAAATGACATGAACAACAATGGTCAGCTCTTCCGGGGCGGCGACAATAAGGATGGGTGGGTTGACAGCGATGTAGCAAAGATGCGAGCGATTTGGGGTGGCAAGAAGGTGCTGGACAACAAGGTAGACTGTTCGAAACAGAAACAAGAAAAATACAATCACCACCAGTGAGAGGGATACAACCGAAACACCACCATAACCGTTAGATACAACCTTCGAGGGAGAAAAAGATTTTACATAGGAAATATGAAAGAAGACTACACCAAAAACTACCCTAAACTCAAAAAGGCAAGCATATAAATAGACCTAGCTAGGGGCAACAAGAAAGGAAAGATGACGAGAAAAGGCCAGGCGGCAATGCCGCCTCTCCCCATATCCCGCTCGATCGTAGTGAGAGATGCGAATAAAAAAAAAGACCCCCCCCCCCCCCCCCCAAGTAGACTGCATGAAGCCACTCGTCTCTTTGGAAGCTTGGACCGAGTCCTCTAGACCGGTCTCATACTAGCCGGTTCAGTTGGCTCCTGTTTCTTGCGTCCGTGCTGAAAATTCTTGTACAGGCCTCAGCATGGGAAGAAACCACTCCCGCATCTACTAGGGGGAAGCCCCTCGTTAGTCTCCCGGGATTGGGGAGAGCTTCGACCTCATTCGTCAAAGCTTCTGGCTTTTGCCAGACGTTCCTGGATCCCAGTGGCAACTACGTTGGCTACCAGAGCATCTAAGAAGCTTTTCCCACTTACAAGCATACCTCTCTATTGATCCATGCTGTTGTGACATAGTCTGAGCCACTAGTACACCACTGTGCAGGTTCTCCCGAGCCAATTTCCAAACAAGTAAATATCCTTAGCCTTAGGAATATGTGGCAATGGAATGGGTATTGGGTGGTAGGAAGTAAATTTTGTGGGTTATGATAGATGCTAGAAAACCCTAGGATAAGGCTAGCTTTGATACCAAATGATACCAGAGGAAAAAGATTCAAATCACAATGACAAGTTTTATTAATAGGGAAACATGGTTACAACAGACACAAATTGAAAATAGCATCATCAACACATAAAACGACACAACAAACACCTTGAGAGTGCATCCTAAGGGCGGTGGAGGTTACTAGGTTGATCGAGATGTCTAGCGGCAATGGTGTAAGTGAAGGCGAGGTGAGAAAACTGTCGGAACAACTATAGGACGGCTATCCTGTGCAGCTACAACAATAAATTGAGGCATAAATGATAGAAACAACAAAGTTTAGATGTCCCGGGGTGGCGGTAGCAAGGATGGTTGGGTCGGCAGTGATGTAGCAAAGATGCAGGTTGTTTGGGGTGGTAGGAAGGTGCTGGACAACATGGTAGACTGCTGGAAACAGGAACAAGGAAGATACAATCACCGCCGGGGAGAGAGATATAGTTGGAACACCACCATAACCATCAGATACAACCTTCAAGGGGGAAGAAGACTCCACACAGGAAATCTGAAAGAAAATTATACCAAAAATTGCCCTAAACTCAGAAAAGCAAGCATATAAATAGACCTAGCTAGGGGGGCAATAAGAAAGGAAAGATAACCAAAAAGGCAGGAGGAGAAAGGCATTGCCGCCTCTCCCTAAATCCCGTTCAATTTGGTCAGGAGATGCGAAAGGAAAGGTCCCGCAGGCCACATGATGCCGCTTGCCTCTTTAGAAGCTTGTACTGGGTCCTCCGAATCGGCCTCATGTCGACTAGTTCAGTTGGCTCCATTTTATCGCATCCATGCGAAATATTCTTACACCCGCCTAAATGCAGGAAGAAACCCGTTCTCGGGTCAGAACCATAGGCTATAAATTGAACAAGATTTGAATACTATATTTAGTGGTTAATCTGATGCGGGTGTCTTTCGCTGTTGGACCGGATGCTTGCTTTTGTTGTTGGACCAAACGTGAGGCATTAGGGCTAGTTGGGACCAGTTCAGAACCGTAGTCTTAAGGTCGCCCGACCCTCCTTCGCGTGGGATTTCCACCTCCATAAGAGAGGGGGCCCACTCCTAGTATCCTTGGGTTATATATTTGTGTTTTTTATGTTCTGCATTTAGTTTTTATCGTATGTTTGTTCGGGATAGCCGACGAGTTCTTCAATTTTTCCATATAGGACTGTATCTAAGGGTTGAGTGGTGCTCTGACTGTATCTCGCTTCCGAGGTAGTGATTATCCTTCCCTCCATCCTTCCCACAACACTCGTTGTTGCTCCCCTTCGCTCCCTCCCTATTTTAGCTGCCTAGGATACCTGTGTTTACGTTCCTTCTTGCAGTTTTCTCTTTCAAAACCACCTCTTCCCGTTCTTTGCTGTCCTCTTGCAGAACTAGTCACTAGCCGCTCCTTGTTGTTTTCTGCACTGGTCAACCTTCCCAGCTGCCATACCATCT